CATCATAATACAAATGTTTTGCACAAATAAAAACAACTCTGCCAAAAAGTTAAATTTAAAATATATCCAGCATGTGCAATGAATGAGAAATGCTTAAGAGTGTGTTCAGAATTTTTGCTTTGCAGGTGGAAATTGGTTCTTAATGTGTGTACTTCATCCCACTTTGGGTTTGGTCCACATTTTAATAGGCCCTCATCTGTATGAAATTTGCCTAGGGAGCAGGTTCTAGTCATTATACGCATTTATATTCATGAACTGCATAGGTATCAGAAGTAAAGTAAGCCAGGTGAAAATTATTCAGGGATCTTACAAGTTTAAGGCCAGGAAATCATTAGGCTTTATTACTTAAAGCAACCCAATAAATTCTGCCACATTTTTCAGACTTTAAACTTGGGGCTTGTTGCTTATAGTGTGTTTAAGGTAAAAATCACTTTTAGAACTCAAGACTCCAGAGTACTGATGTAAGCAATCCTTTAGCAGGACAAGGTAGTACAAATGAAATACTTCTGACTGTGGTTCTTGAATGCTAAGAAAGCTCTAAGAAGTTCCCAAATCCCCAAGTTGTTGGGCCATTCTGTGTTTGCCATGTAAGTGTATCTTTTCTGGCCTGGTGAGAATCCTAAGCTTCCCCAGGCCCTATACAGGACGCAGGATGCATAGCTGAATCTTGACTGATTGAATCCTCCTACTAAAGACTTCAACTCTCCTGCAAGTTATTGAAACAAGAAGCAGTTAGAATCTTTGTAGATTTTATTTTTTGTGCCAGTACTAGAGCTTGAACTTAGGGCCTCACAGTCTTGTTTTGCTTTTTCCACTGACGCTGCCTTTCTCTGCTGCCTGACACTCACCATTTGAGCCATACCTCTACTTAACTTTTTTAATATATATATTTTTTATTGTAAAGATACAGTACAGAGGGGTTACAGTTACATGAGCAAGGTAATGAGCCCATTTCCTATCAAGTATTGTTATACCCTCCTTTATATTTCTCCTACCATCCCTTTCTCCCCACCTCCCCAACTCCTTCCTCTCCTCCCCTCCCCCTGCAAAGTTGTAAAGTTAATTTTCAACATACTGTCTTGTACATCTCATTGTTGCAATGGGTCATCCTGTATCCTTATTTCAGAATTTTGTTATTTCCCTTCCCCTCCCCAAATTAGAAAAATGTATATACAAGATGCAGGGCACCAGAATCAAATACAGCGACAACAAGGGTTGTACCATGGGGGAAGAGCATACAAAAGAAACAAAAAAAAATCACATAGTACGTTATAAGTACATTAAAAAGAAAAGCAACAAAGATAAAACCTCTTGTGTCCCTATCTTGGTGTTCATTTCGCTTAGCATCAGGTTATATGGTCATATGTACATAGCTTTTGACCTCTTCTGCTTGTCCTAGACATATACTAGTTATTGCAGATAAGGGAAACCATGGGACCTATGTTTCTTTGAGTCTGGCTTACTTCACTTAATAGAATTTTTTCCAAATCTTTCCATTTCCTAACAAATGTCATTCTTTCTGATAGAAAAAATCTACTGTATGTACTGAGTTCTCAAAACATTAATAATTTTCATTATGAAGAAAATTCATAACCATTCCTAAGTACTGGTGGTTCATATCCATAATCCTAGCTACTCAGGAAGTTGAGATCTGAGGATCACAGTTCAAAGCTAGCCTGGGTAGGAATGTTCAGTAGATTCTTATCTAATTAACCACCAGAAAGACAGAAATGGATCTGTGACTAAGTGGTAGAATGCCAGACTTGAACAAAAGCCCTAGGACACACACACACACACAGTAATAACTTTCATAGTTAAAAAGAAACACGTAATGGGTTAAGGATGTGGCTCAATGGTAGAACACTTGCCAATCATGAAATCATGCAGGAGGACCAGTGTTCAGTCCCTATCACCACCAAAGATACAAAGAAAGTAATCTGTTTAATGTTTAAATGTTCATCAATATGGATAAGTGAAAAAGAAAACTTTCAGTCAATATTTTTCTAATATTTTGGTGACTTTGAAGATATGTATGTTCCTATGTGCATGTAAGGACATATGTGTAAGCTTGCATTACACTCACAAGGAAAGATGTACCAACAAGCAGATATATTTCCTCTAAAGACCAACACACATAACACACACACACATATATATTTTACCAAATATATATATTAGCATTTTTCATTAAACAGTTTTATGTCTGCTCTGCTCCAGCTTGATTCTTGGGTTGTGTTGTGTCACCTTAACACCATTAACTCTAGAGGCTCTGCAGAGTATACAACAGTACTGAGTATTCAAAGTATTAGTAAAAAGGAGACTTAGAATCAGGATGTGAATGATGATTGTGAAGAAGAGAAGTAGTAAGATTATGGCACATATACACAAGTGGCAAAAATACATCACAGCACAAAGACTACTCCTAAGTTTACAATAGGTGTGTTTATGACAGAAAGGGATCCAAGGGGTTGCCAGCACTATATAAAAAGAACAGAAAAGAAAGGAGAAGAGAAGAGAAGAAAGGAGACAAGAGAGAAAGGGAGAGGGAGAGGTGGTGGTTGTTTCATTTTGAGGCACGATCGGGCAGGATGAGATAGGACAGGACAATGAAGATGAGATTTGTGTATCTTCCTATCTCCTGTGGCCTGAGCAGTCTCCAGGCCTGGAAGAGGGGGACATTCTAGATCATTTTGAGGGACCTCTATGTTCAGTATGTGGGGAGAGGATGTAAGTCTGCTAGTGGATATCAAGGAAACAAATACTAGGTTTTCCAGAGGTGAGTTCTGGAAAGAAAGAGAACTAGTACTTAATAGAGCAGGTCTGTGATGTGGGCTTACTTCTGACTTGTACTTTGGGCACTTTGGGATGTAGCTAAAGAAGTTTGATTCATAAGTCTCTAGATCCCTTTACACAGCTGGTATGCTCCAAAGAGGCTTACAGCACGGCTCAGTCTTGTCTGCTGGACTTCTTTTCCCCAGGCTTCTGGATTTTGCCTCCTGAGAAGCAGAACTTTGGATGACTGTTACTTCCAAATTTCCCTGAGCATTGACGGGGAGATCTGATGGCACTGCATATTGGAAAGGAGGCCATAGGTGATGCCTGTTATAGGTTGAATATACCTAATCCAGAGGTTGAAAAATCTGAAAACTGGGGAGGGATGAAATGTCATGACACTGTAGTGGAAAATTACATATCTGACCTTATGTGAGAGATTGCAGTAATACCAATAATAAAATCATCAGGCGAAACGGATAAGGTGTATATGAACCACAAATGAATTTTTCATTTTTAATATGGGTTTCTTCCAAGACATATATTGTATAAATATTATTAAATATATATTTGTATGGAAATATATCGAGAGAGAAATATTGTATACAAATGTGAATATTTCCAATTTACACACCAATCCTAAATACTTCCAGTCCCTAGCATTTTGTATGCAGGATACTTGACCTGTACCAATGAACTGAGAAAATGGCCATCTGTCCTGTGCATTCTGACAGTGCCAGGCAGTGAGGTGCTCTGCCCACTCTTGTCCATGCCAAAAAATGAGAGCTGATCCATTCCACCACACGGCCAACATGCAGGCTTAGGGCTCAAGGCAGGCAGTTTTTAGTTCAAGCATGCTTACAATGTGTGACCTCTGAGCAAGGAAGTTAAAATGCGAATGCTCCATCTCATGGATAGCTAGATTTGAATTTTGAATGTGACAGTGAGAAAGTTCGTTGTATCAAAGCAATTCCCTAAGTGACTGTTTTTCTTACGACTTATGAACTGAGATTTGGGGGGATGGGGAGAAGCCATCTGCTCCTGAATGGTCTTCCAATGACTGAAGCAATGACTGCAGAGCAAACTGGAAGGGCTCCAGCAGAGCATTCCTGTGTGCTGTATCTAGCCCCACCCCATGGCCTGGGCCCTAGCATTTACTGAAGACTGTGCTTTGTTGCAAGGCCTTGCTTGGTAGGCGCATACAGTTGAGTGAGATGAGAGCAGAGTTTGTGTAACCTCCTATCCCACCCATGAGCCACTCCAGAAAATGGAACCATCTTGAATTTGAACTCAAAAATGAACTTTATAAAAAACGTGGTACCTGTATACTATGGAATTTTACACAGCCATTAGAAAGAATAAAATAATGTCATTTGCAGGGAAATGGATGAAATAAGAACAAATCATGTTAAGCAAGGTAAGCCAAGATCAGAGAGACAAACAGCACATATTCTTTCTGGTATGCAGAAGTCAGATCTAAAACACATTGGGATATGACCAATTACCCAGGATTCTAGATACTTACATACAGTGAGATCAAAGGAGGATAGTCTTAGGAGAGAATTACAAAAGTGCAATGCCTAATCCCCTCTTCATATTTATATAAAATAATATATATACTGAAATGAACTCCTAAGATATGGAATCAAAAGACTGTTTTTAATTTTTTTTTCTTTTTCGGGTGATTCTGTATTCTTTAACTTATATAAGATGTGGTCACGTGTGTGTCTTCAGAAATGTGGGGGAAGGGCACAGACCTTGAGGAACCAGTGCAGCAGCGGAGCGCACTGGACATTGATAAAAGTGAATTGTACAGATGGGACAGCAGGGAAAGAAAGGGAGGGAATGAGGAAACAGATGGCACTGTGCAAAAGGAAATGTACTCATTACCAAACTCATGTAACTGTAACTCCTCTGTACATTACCTCTATAACAACAATCCATTAATATTTTTTTAAAACAGAACTTCAAAAAAGCTTAGTTTCTCCCTTCTCCCTTCAGCCCCATGCACCTTTGCTTACAAAACTTATCCTATCTGATGAAAAAATTGTAAATTAAGTATATGAATTTTCTTTGCTCATTCACTATTGGTGTTGAAATTCCAAAATTTATTTCTCTTAAAATATAAATTTTCTTGTCTTTGAACGATGGCCTGCCTCAATTTGCAAAACATCCTTGAGACTTATTTTGTCCTCTAAATGTGTGTGTGGCTTTTTCTTTCTATTTAGGCATTCATGCAGCCTCACTTACTGGGAAATGAGTTCACACATTTGGAGTTTCCAAGGCGAGTACAGAGAAAGGAGCTTGGAAAGAAGATGCTCTACAGGGACTTTAATATGACAGGCTGGTAAGAGCATGCCACCCGGGCACCACCTCAGAAAGAGAGAGAGAGAGAGAGAGAGAGAGAGAGAGGGAGAGAGAGAGTATGTGTGTGTGTGTGTGATCACCATTATCAAAAGTGACTCACATTGTTGGGGCCAAGAGGTGATACAGCCTACATTTGTAAAGAACAAGGCCTTACATCTACCTACTCCTGTTCTCCTGTTCTTGCTTAGGACTAGTGCTCAGATCCCAAGCTTTGTTATCCCCATGAAGCTGACTTAATTCTTCATTTTTGTATGGAGCCATCATTTGGAAACTTTCAAAACACATTAAGTTTTTATGATTATAAACCAGGGATATAGCGCTGACCCCCCTCCCAAAATTATAAACCAGGTATAGAAGGGCTTTGATTGGTCATTACAAGCCTATGCCTGTAATCTCAGCACCTAGTAGGCTGAGGCACAAAAATGGAGACTTTGAGGCTAGCCTGAGCTACATTATGAATTCAAAGTCAGCTTAAGCTACACAGCAAGACTTTTGCTTTAAAAAAAAAAGAAAAGAAAATAGAGTAGCCAAAGGGTATTTGCCACAGGCTTCTTGACCTAGATTGACATGGATGTGATTCCCAACTGATTTTCTAAATGAGCCAAGTTGAATAAATACTTAACCCCTATTTTTATATGGATAAAGTGAAAAGAGAAACAAAAAAAGACTGGAAGTAATGAAGCAGCCTTTGGTGTCTGGAAAAGATTAGTTCCAGGATTCTCTATAGAAACCAACTTTGAAGATGTGCAATCCCCAATAAGTAAAATAGCGTGTATTTATTGTATATAGCATATGCTATATAGATTGTCTCTAAATTGTTGAAAATACCCAACACATGTAAATGCTCTGTAAGAAGTTGTCATACTATTTCATTTAGGGAATAAGAAAATGATATGGACATATCTACTGCAGATACTTAAAAAAAAATCCACCCAAAATTGTCTTAAATCCAAATTCTTACTTAACAAGGCATATCTTATTCCTAAAACACACCTGTATGCCTATCAGAACTGTTGACTAAGACCTCATCTGTTTGTTCCACCTGAATAAGAAACAGTGAGAGACTGAAGCAGTTGGTGGCAAATGCTTGTCACCAAGTGCTTCCACAATAGAGGGCTAGTGTAGGAAGTGAGAATTTCCTCTTACGCCTTGGATCCTAATAAGTGAACCTTATACCTGTTTAACACAATTTCCCCTTTCCTTACTCTGTCCCCAACAAAAGCTAAGAAGTAGTTTTCATGATACTTCTCTATTGACTGAAATACTTAATAATGGAGGATGACAACTGGGATTCCCATGTTAACTTCTTGGGCACATGTTGTCACAAAGGAACAAGTTGCACTGCCCAGGGAAGAGAAGAGGCTGACCCCTTTAGGGGCTTCTGCTTGTCCTTTCCCAACTGCAAAAGATCCTCACCCAGATCCACGCTTCTTCCTCTAGCATGAAGTCAGCACACTATAGCTGGAGAGCCAAAGCCTACCCACCACCTGTTTTTACAAATAATTCTTTTTTAAAAAAATTACAGCTACATGTGTTTGTTTACATTTAATCTATGACTATCTTCACAGTGCAACCAGGCAGTTAAATAGTTGTAACAAAGTCCATAAAGCCCACACAATTTCTAATATTTGCCCTGCTCTAAAACATAAATGGATTTGTCATGAAGAGCTCATGATCTTTGAACCTCTGAGTTGTTTTTTTTTTTTTTTGTAATTAAGTTTTTTATTGTGAAAATACTGTACAGAGGGGTTACAGTTACATGAGCAAGGTAATGAGTACATTTCTTATCCAGCATTGTTGCCTCCTCCTTTGTTTTTCCCCTACCAGCCCTTCCCTCCCACCTCCACAACTACCCCCCCCCCAGGTTCCCCCTCCCCCACTTAAATTGTAAAGTTCATTTTTCGACATAGTGTCTTGTACATCTCATTGTTGCAGTGGGTCCACCTGTATCCCTATTTAAACAATTTGTTTTTTCCCTTCCCCTCCTCAAATTATACCAACATCAAATACAGTGAAAACAGGGGTTATACCGTGGGAGAGGGACACACAAAGCAACAAAAACATCACATGGTTCCTTATAAATACATTAGGAACAATAGCAAGGAAGGAAAAAAACTACTTGAGTTCTTATCTTGGGGTTCATTTTGCTTAACATCATCTTTTTTTTTTGCTTTTTGTTTTTTTGTTTTTTTTTTTTAATTTTATTTGAGAACATACTGTACAGAGGGGTTACAATTACATGGGCAGGATAATGCATACATTTCTTACCAAGCATTGCAGCCTCCTCCTTTGTTTACCCTTCACCTCCCTTCCCAGCCTCCCCCCTCCCCCCCACCCAATCATACCCCCCCTCCCCCACCCAACCGACATTGTAAAGCTGGTTTTGAGATGACATTTTGTACTTCTCATTGTTGCAACAGGTCCACCTGAATCCTTAAACGACTTGTTTGTCCCCGTCTCCTCCACATGTTATACTGACATCAAATATAGTGAAAGCGGGGGGAGGGGGGGGGTTACACTGTGGGGGAGGGACATACAAAGCAACAAAGAAATAATCTTATAAATGCGTTTGAAACACATGCATGAAAGAAACAAAAACATTAAAATACATATTTGAGGGTTCGTTTTCCTAACATCACATTCTCTGACTTTTTCCGCTTGACTCATACCTATACTAGATATTGCAAATAAGGGAAACCATGGGACCTATGTTTCTTTGGGCCTGGCTTACTTCACTTAATATAATTTTTTCCAAGCCTTTCCATTTCCTAACAAATGGGGAAATGTCATTCTTTCTGATGGAGGCATAGAATTCCATTGTGTATATATACCACATCTTCTTGATCCATTCATCTACTGAGGGGCATCTGGGTTGGTTCCATATCTTAGCTATGGTAAATAATGCTGCAATAAACATAGTTGTGCTGGTAGCTTTAGTGTGGCCTTGTTTGTGATCATTTGGGTAAATGCCCAAAAGTGGGATTGCTGGGTCATTGGGGAGCTCTATGTGGAGTCTTTTGAGGAACCTCCATACTGCTTTCCAAAGTGGTTGAACAAGTTTACATTCCCACCAACAATGAAGTAAGGTTCCTTTCTGTCCACATCCCCTCCAGCATCTGTTGTTGTTAGAGTTCTTGATTTTTGCTGTTCTAACTGGAGTGAGGTGATATCTCAATGTTGTTTTGATTTGCATTTCTTTTATGGCTAGGGATGTTGAACATTTCTTCATGTGTCTATTGGCCATCCTTCTTTCTTCTTCAGAGAAGCTTCTCTTTAAGTCTTTCGCCCACTTACTTATTGGGCAGTTGTTTCTTTGAGGATTTGTTGTTGGGTGGTTTAATTTTTTGAGTTCCAAGTATATTTTAGATATGAGACCCTTGTCCGTTGTATGGCTAGTAAAGATCTTCTCCCAGTCCGTGGGCTTTCTATTGATCTTGCTAGCTATGTCATTTGCCCTGCAGAAGCTCTGCAACCTTATACAATCCCATTTGTCCAACCTTTCTTTGATTTGTTGTGTTTGAGTTGTTTTTTTTTAAGAAGGCAAACTTTTATTAAGCCAAAGTTTGTAAGAGAAACTGAAAAGAAATTTCACACTTCAATAATATTTCCAGTTTGTCATTAAATGCAAAGTCACTATATTCCCTCACCATTCTCAACAATGTGTATAAAAATGTTGGTGTTCAATTGTTTATTTTTTTTATTTTTTTGTTGCTGTTTTTATTTATTTATTTATTGTGAAAATACTGTACAGAGGAGTTACAATTACATGGGCAAGATAATGAGTACATTTCTTATCAACCATTGTAGCCTCCTCCTTTGTTTCCCCTTCCCATCCCTTCCCTTCCCATCCTCCCCCTGTCCCCCCACCCAATCTTCCCCCCTCCCCTCTCCTCCCCCCTCCCCCTTCTCCCCCCCCCCCACCAAAGTTGTAAAGTTCATTTTCAACATAACGACTTGTACATCTCATTGTTGCAGTGGGTCCACCTGTATCCCTATTTAAAAGATTTGTTTTTCCTCTTCCCCTCCACAAATTATACTGACATCAAATACAGTGAAAGCAGGAGTTATACTGTGGGGGAGGAACATACAAAGCAACAAAGAAATAATCTTATAAATGTGTTAGAAACAATTGCATGAAAGAAAAAAACTTTTGAATAGATATCTTAGGGTTCATTTCCCTAACATCACCTTATCTGACCTTTTCTGCTTGACTCAGACATATACTAGATATTGCAAATAAGGGAAACCATGGGACCTATGTTTCTTTGGGCCTGGCTTACATCATTTAATATAATTTTTTCCAAGTCTTTCCATTTCCTAACAAATGGGGCAATGTCATTCTTTCTGATGGGAACCTCTGAGTTTTTATATCCTAGAGTGATTATTCTAACTCCAGCTGAGTTTTCTTATAAATTGATGTACATTTAGTCAGCAAAATCAGCACATCTGGCAGAGAAGTTGAGAGCGAGAACTAATGTATTTGAAAATACATAAGGGTTTGATCTGAGTATTGTAGAGATTATTATCTATTGATGACCTACCTACCTACTTACCTGCGTACCTATCTATTTGTGCCAGTGCTGGGACTTGAACTCAGAATTCTGTGCTCACCCTTGGCTTTTTGGCTGAAGGCTAGCACTCTACTACTTGAGCCACACCTTCACTTTAGGCTGTTTCCCTCACCTAGTTAATAAAAGTCTCATGGATTCTCTTGGCCTGGCTGGCTTTGCACTTCAATCCCCTGAACTCAGTCCTTAGTAGCTAGGATTATAGACATGAGTCATCAGCATTCAGCTACTATAGAGTTTAGAAAACATTTAGGAACTTGTGTGGTTGTAAACAATATTTTTTTAAGTTGATCTAAAAGGACAGTGTGGGAAATGCCTAAGTACAAAGTACAAGAGGAAAAAATGCACTTTGAAGCAAAATCAGCTTGTGTTGAGGCAACATACTAACAAATATGAGAAACCAGACAAGAAA